TAAAAGATGATTAATCAAAATCATTACATTTGCTTACCTGGCTAAATCAATAGTAAGGATGACAAGGGCTCGTGGTGTGATGAAGACATGGTGTGTCAGGTAGTACTCCTCCTGCCCTGCAAAGTCCCAGAAAAGGAAACGGACTTCCTTGGCATAGAGTTGACTGATCTCAATTCCCTCAGTCCGGTCCTCGACTGCCACGGCCACAGGCTTCCCTTCCCTCAGGCTGCGGCAGAGTGTGGACTTTCCAGCCATGGAGGAGCCCAGGAACATGGTCTTGACTGTCCAGGCACTGCGTGTGTTCGGATTCTCCTTCATTTGACGAAAGTAGCTCTGGATGTCCATGACCCCTCCAGCACAGACCTCCTCTGGTGGGCACCTAAGTGGGTTCCCTAAAGCCTTGCACATGGTCAGCTCGCAGTTGCCATCCTGGAAGAGCTGGGATGGCAGCTCTGTCAGTTTGTTCTTCTCAACCAAAAGCTCCTTCAATTTTGGGAGACCAACTAGTGGTTCGATGTTTTGCAGGCAGTTCTTGGAAAGGTCCAGGTAAGTGATACTGGTGCACTGGTTTATATCTGAAGGAATCCTGGACAAGCGATTGGCACTGAGTTTTAGGAACTTTAACCTCTTAAGATGTGGAAAGATTCCCTCTGGAATGGATCTGATGTTGTTGTAGTTCATGTAGAGTGTCTCTAGTTTGTGCAAGTGGTGCATTTCAGGAGAAAACTCCACTATCTTGTTCCTGGAGAGATTAAGCTCTATCAGATGGCTGAATCTGGAGATGCCAATGACCCGTTTCAGTTTGTTCCTCTGCAAATCCAAACTACTAGCGTGTATTAGAAGATCCTGAGGAAGGGACTTCAGTTTCTTTCCAGACATATCACATTCCTCCCAACTGCTTCCTGTGTTATGAATGAGTAGGGTTACAGTATGTTTAAGATCTGGGAATTGTTTAAAAAAGCAGGTTTACAGAGTTGTCTGGGAAATTAAACGACGAACAGCTAATTTTACATGCTGCTTTATATTTCTGCATAATAGGGGGTAACACTGAAGCCACGCATAATCTGCACTGTAGCTGATGTCTGCCTAACTACAGTCGAGGCTATGGCGGCTATGGAGATACCACATGGGAACCACAAGAACTGTGACTGGTCAACATGGGCTATTTTTTCTTTTCCTACAAATTTCTGATCCCAGTATAGATTGTTCAGAGTGAAGACAGCATTAACCAAGTTGGAAAAAGGCTCAGTCATCTTCTTGTTTTTTCCACGGTTGTTCGTACCCCAAGGTAAATGGAAATATGTAAAAACAAATACTGCATATATGGTATACTATGGTCTAGTGCTGTGGGGTAATATCAACGGGTGAACACCGAACTATAAATCAAAACCTTCACTGTAGGTATCATTGGTACTTACTTTAACCCCTTCGAACAAGCAAAGGTGCGATTAGGATAATAATATACTTCCTCAAGTATGGATTCAGATGTTAAAGTCACCAAAAGTTGAACTTGTTGTTGAATTCATTTAGGTCATAAATTCTGTAGGGATAAATACTAAGATGACTAGGCCCTTAGTCTGACAAACAGAAGATATTATTAAAAATTACATATCTTCATAAAGTGAAAGCCTGACACGAGAAACAGGAAAAACTATTTTTATGATACTCATCTTCCATTCCTGGAAAAACCAAATCAGCAGCAAAAGGTTTTACAATATCAAGCCTGCTATAAGCCGAAACAGGTTCATCCTCAACTACTGTAATTTCTCTGAAGCTGGTAAAGAAATATCTCTTAAATTGGTAACAAAAAAGAATGTTGGGGAGGTCACAGAGTTTAAGAGAAAACAGACAAACCTCAGAGGGTTATAATGATGTATAGGAAGAGATAAATAACCAGGGTAACTATTCTTTAGTATTAAAATTAATTAGTTATTAAATTACTACTACTACATTATCTCACACACACTAGCTTGCACCACCGTCTCTGCTTCTCTCTCCATGTATCATACAGGCAGCAGGTGAGCTGGATGTGGAGGAGACGCTGAAAAGCGACACCTTTGCTTTACCTCGTCCGTCTGCGTTTATATAGATAGCCATTTAAACTGTTGGAGCCATTTCCATGTTTAACATTGGGTTGGGTTTGGACTCATTGTTTCAGGTGTTCGCACAGCAGGTTTACGGTTTTTGAATGTGTGTAGGTCGGCTATAGTACTGTTTTATTGTCAGAGATTTGTTTTTGTTATAGTTTCAAAATAAATGCACTGGTATATCCGTCTTTAAGTTTTCACTTGAAAGTTGCGTCATTGTCCTCAGCACGAGTACAGAACAGAAAGTTCATGGCACAAGCGTTGCAAGTTTCCTGCAACATTGCCACATTTAATACATTTCTCATTATAACATTTCTGTACCCCAAAGGTCTATTGTTTGGGCTGACGTATCTAACAATAATTTAAATCCACGTTAGGTTGCTTACCTTCTACACAGGCCATTTTCTTCAGGTATTTGTTGGGCTGCTTCCTTGTTGACTTCCCCAGGAAGTGTGGCTGAGGGTGGAACAGAGAGTGAGCCGGCAGTTGAGACACACCAAACCCAACAAAGGGAAGTGAAATGAACTCTGATCACTTACAGTAATTAAATCTTAAAAAAAAAAAAAAAAAAACACCTTTATTACTTTTACCTTGAGCTGATTCCTCCAGATATAATACGCACAAGAGTTTAAAAGGTAATGTCCATTAACTATGAACCTTGGCGTTATTTTTTATAATAATTTAGTATTAATAATTATTTTCCTCAAGCATTCAATTCTCAGGTAAATAATAACAGAAGAATTATTTTAAAAGTTTTAACACGTTTATTTATTTGTTTTGCATCTGACAGGGCGCTGTGCATGTCTGCAGCTTGATCCATTTCCAGCAGGGGATGCTGCAGCACCGGCAGTACCTCTACTTCCCACTGCCCTGTATGTAGACAGTTGTAGTAACATCAGAACAAAATGTGTTTCCCCAGAATCAGTTGTAGCCATTACACTGGAGAGTGTTACTTGGTGTAGTAGGGTGTCCCCAAAGCATCAAATTTCTCACTGGAGGCACTTCACTCCCTCATCCCTCATTCACTTGAGTGGAAATGTGCTGTAAAGTTCAACCCTTCCTTCTTTAAAACAGTTTGAGAAAAAATATTCACATTCACATCAACAGATTTTATTGCAGGGCTGTTGTATTATACAGTATTAGTTTGATCTTAGTGTACGTAATCAACTAGGATATAAGTATTCATTGTATTTGTATATTCTGTCCTGTCAATGTCTAGTGGCACTATTTAGATAGTGGCAGCATTGCCTCCAGCGTTGCCTCTATGCTTAACACAATACAGGAAATATATATATTTACATTGTCTTGTCTCTACTGAAATATACACATATCAGCTTTAACATTATGAGCACTGATTATCTGGTTATTATGGTTCCTGTTAGTGGGTAGGATATATTAGGCAGCACGTTGAAATTTTGTCCTCAAGTTGATGTGTTTGAAGCAGAAAAATGGATAGCGTGAGGATTTAAGCGACTTTGACAAGGTCCAAATTGTGATGGCTAGACGACAGGGTCATAGCATCTCCAAAACTGTAGCTCTTGTGGGGTCAGTCTGCAGAGGTCAGTACCTACCTAAAAGTGGTCCAAGGAAGGAAAAGAGGTGAACTGGTGACTGGTGGTCATGGGCAACCAAGGCTCATTGGCTCTTCAAGGCTGGCCCCAACAGACAAGCTACTGTAGCTCAAATTGCTGAAAAAGTTGATGCTAAGGTCAGATAGAAAGGTGTTATAATGTTACAGCTGATCGGTGTATACACATATATAAATACTGAAACACACACATACATAAATACATTCTTACACTCATATACATAATGCATGCATGTCTGATTATGTAGTGTATCTGTGTATGTATGTATGTGCATGGCTGTATGTATGTATATGCATGTATGTATGTATGCATATGTAAAGTGTGAGAGTGTGCATACATAGACAAGTGCTTAGTAGCAGTATATACGTATGTGCACGAGAGTATGCATGTATGTGCAAGTGCTTACTACCAGCATATACTGTATGTATGTGCAAGTAAAGTACTCAGATTAGGCCTAGGTGACTTCTCATGTTCCATCTTCAAGGTATCAGTACAATACTTAAGAGTCCCTGTCTAAGTGTGGTTCATTACAATTACAGTTTCTAAAACTTTGTGTCCAGATATGGTCTCTGACAGCAAGTTGTACATTACCCTCGACCTAACGATTTACTTTCCTTCCATCTCCTAACTTCTAACTGCATCAAAAATATAATCATCTTTTCAGTATCTGAATAATTAGTTGATTTCTTGCAAACTTTCTGTGTCAAAACATATATATATAAATGTTCTTCCAATTCTATCTAGTACTCTTATTAAATATTATTGGTAATTGTTTACTTAATGTTGAGATAATAACTTCTTGTTTGTAGGAAATGAAACAAGCACTGCAGTCTGGCAACTAATTCTTTCACATGGCTCCTGGCATAGTGGTATTTTTGATACTACCACCAGATGGTGCCAAAATGAATGCTACATGTTGTAGCTTTTAATATCATTACTTATCCTTTAACCTTTGCCTCTGTTACCATTTAAGGTAGCAGACCTTGCATATATTGCACTGAAATTCGCTCCAGTGTGACCTTATTCAGACTTTTCTAACAGGACACTAGCTCGACACTGCTCCTCTCTGCCTGTATGTGCTGTAACTGTTTTGTGAAATGGTGAGATTCCCACCGCAGCTGGGTAGCTACCTTAGAATCATTCATTCATCAAATGCTTCATATCATAGTGGAGTCATTTTATTTGGTAAGTTGTACTGTTTCTTTCGAGATGAGAAGAAGTGTGTACTGTCAGTTTTAAGGGTGTAATATTATACACTATCCATGTAGAACTGTGTATCTGCATTGCACTACTTCACTATTAAAATGAGGGTAAGGGACTTGAGTAAATCACATTGACATATTTAATGCTGTACCACATTAATCAGTGACATTATAAACATATTACACAGGACATTGTGCCAAATTTCAATGCAAGCATAAATTCAGAGGTAAATTAAAAAACTATGCTACCATGTAAAATAAATCCCGTAGCAAACACCATAGTGTGCCAACATAAACCTACAGCAATAAAAGACACACAATTTAATCATCCACAATTCACTGTCTGGTATGTGTTCAGGCTGAGAAAGGCAACATTTAAATACAAACAGCATTTAAAAACATTGTGTATGTTTTGTGCTTATATTCAACAAATTCAAAGGAGAGACTTATCCTCTCATACAACAAAGTGTAAGCCTATACTATAATGAACATAATCTAGCATAGCCATGAATTACATAGTTAATACCTATGCATATTGTATGTTGACTAGCTTAGTATCTTGGGAATTTTAAGGGGCACTGCACCACAGCTATTTTAAATGTACACATTAGTCTGAGTAGACACAGAAAGTAACTAACCTGATGATGTCATTACAGACCTATACTTACTTGACCTATACTTGGAACTCTGTATACTTCTGTCTCTGCACTATCAATGTTTACCTTTTAAAAACTTTCTTGCAAGAACATCCAACTTAATGAAGGTGCATATGAAATAGGGACCTATATTTTATGATGATGTATAAAACCACAATGCTGGCTTTGCATTGTACCACAGTGAAGGCAAGAGGAGTCTTCTCACACACATGCTGGTGGAAGTATTTCTGTTTTCTCACATCAGTTCACAATCAGGTTCCTTTCCATTTGGCAGGCGGGTCTGAATATATTGAATGCCCTCAGGAATCTTTGGTGCTTACGAGTTTCCTGTCACACAAGTACCTCTGAACCCATCCGCAGGGATTAACATCAAGTCGCAGGAAGTTCTGCAGCCACGGGCTCCTCTGAGCCCCCTGGACAAACTCTTCCAGTGTAATCTGACCTGCAGCACACACACACAAACTCTGCATGAATTATTTATGGCTAAATATTGAGGAAACCTATTTTTGAGGGATTTGTTTGAGGATGTTGTTGGTGTAGAGTATGCAGTCAACATACCGTCACTGTTCACATCAACCTCTTGAAAGATGCGATCGCACACCTGCTCCGCGGTCAGGTTCCCTGTTCCTGTTTCATCAGACACACAGCCTTTCTTTATCTTGTAGATAATCTGAAAGACAGATTCCAAATTTGACTGTTTCGTATCCTATTCTGCAAAGCTTTTGACATATTGTGTGGTTTTTAGCCATGCTAGCAGCATATTTCTAGGGATGTCAATGTTGGTCTGATAGTTGATCAGCCTCAAATCTGATTTGTGTTTATTGGTATTTGGTAATTGTTAATACACCTATGAATTTGGTGAATTTGGTAAACATTATATCTGCTAAGTATCAGCATATTAGCATTGTCATTGTGAATAGTTCGTATGCTGACATTAATGGGACATAAGATAAATATGTTTTACCTTAACAATCTTCCATAGTTCATGTCTGTCTAGACAGCCGTTGTCATCGCTGTCAAAGACCTTGAAAGACCACCGCAGCTTATCTTCAAGTTTTCCACGCAGAACAAGATTAAGTGCAGCCACATACTCAATAAAATCCATTGTGTTGTCCTGAAAACACGAAAACATTATTACTGAATTCCCAACAAGGAAAGCTTATATTTTTATAATTGCTGATATTGTTTGGATTTAGAATTAAAGGCTGAAACATGTGACTTCAAAGGAGCTGTAACTCACATGATTCATGTCAAATGCTCTGAAGATGCTGTCCATGTACTGTGATTCAGGTGTACCATTCTGTACTCCAAACATCCTCTTGAACTCATGCAGGTACAAAGATCCACTCGGGCACTCCATGATGAATGACCTGTAGAGGTCCTGGATGCTGTTTAACTCCAGTTCTTCTTCCTGTGTCTGTATTTGCTGACTTTGACCCATGCTAAAATCCAAATCGTGCCACTGCAGCAAAAAACACTTTATTTTATATAAAAAATAAACTGCTTTAGTAAAGTAATATCCTTAAGAATGCCCTCTTCATGGCTGCCGTTGACAGTTTCTGCAACAACTCAGGGGTTTTGAACTGAGTCGACTGTCATAACTGATTTATGTGACCCCAAGAGTCTTATTTTTAGCTAAAGTCTTTGGCAAGCTGAGTTTAAAGCAGTAATCCACCTGCCTGATCCCATCTTGAACCTTAAGTAACCCAGGGCCACTACACAGTATTACTATGATAACTTATAATAGTGACTGGAGGTTCTTTTCCTGTGTGTGGATGATGAAGATATGTACACTATAAATTAAATATCTGCAGGGAAATTGTTCTGTATTCTGTGTTAAGGTTGTCAGGCTAGTCTGTTTGATTTTGATATAATTAACTTGTACACCTGAAAACTATCATTAGTTTTACTATTAAAACTGATGTGATATGATTATGATGTGTCAAAATGTCTTTCAAATAAATCACTCGTTGCAACCCTGTCTCCTATATAATTTACATTTTTATACAACTTATTTATTTCTACTGTGTAATTAAAGAGTACAAATTGGAGAAGGGTCAACACCTTATAAGTATTTTATTGGTACCTGATTCATACAACAAAATTACACTGCAAATTCCAGATTGTATTATATGTGTATGTATTAAGTGTGTTTTATCTTTCTTCTTTTCTTATCTATCTTCTGCCTCAAGGTGTGACTGAAGGCAAGACCGCTGTTTGCCTTTAAATGGAGACAGTGAGGCTTACTACAGAAACACTTCTAATAAAAAGTCAAGCATTTCAGGCAGAAGCAGGACATGAAGGCTTTTTTTAAATTAAACTTGAGTTGTTGGTGTTTAAACCTGTCTTTAACAACAAAGTAAGGTAATCCGGTAAAAACAACATTACTTTAATTGAATATACACAGTAAGGATGTATTTGTGTCTTATTTATGGTATTATTTATTTAAAACAAGATTAAAAAATACAATTGTGAACAGAAAAAACAAACCACAATAGAAAAGCACACATTATAATCATTCACTATTTACATAATGCCACTATCACTTTATAACAAGAAGGCTGTGGCTTTAGTAAGCAAGCAATATGCACTGGAAATGGTTGCTTTAATAGTATTCAAAGACAATAGAATTAAGCTCAAGAATTATTTTTATAATAGTTTCAATAGTGGAAAGAGAGAATAATGTATAAAAGGGACGTAGAAATTATACATTTTTCTGTGCGATACTGTTCATATTGAGATTTTAAGTGCTATTGTTGCTTTACTAAAAGCCAAATGATGGCCTGTTCTGAACAGCTTCTTTCACGGTCTGTGAATATGAAATTGCTAACACAGTATCCAAAATGAATTCAGATTTTAGTTGTAAATTTAGTTAGCTGGTTTTATCCATGGTTCTCCCTGTGTCCACATAGGAAAGGCACGTGTGCTTTGACAATTCAGAAGTGTGCACTCTTTCTCCTCTGGTCCAGCACCCATCCTGCAGGGTTCATGTCCAACTTCAACATGTTGAGCACCCAGGGGTCCTGCTGTGCACCTCTAATGAACTCTTCCATGTTAATGTGACCTGTGGAACAAAAAAGTCCCAGCAAGATTAAAATTATCTGCTGATACAACAAAATATTCCATCTAATGTTGCTCCAAAAGTACTTTCACTGCATTGTAGATAGATTGTAGACATGTAACTAACTACTTACCATCTCCATCACTGTCAACTGCCTCTAATATTCGATCCACAACCTCATCTACTGTAAGCTGTGATTCACTCATGTCTGTCTTTGAGACTTTTTTTATCCGATAAATGCTCTATATGAAAAGAAAAGAAGACATTTCATGTTAATAACATAGAAAATCACTCAGTGATGATGCATGATATACTCAATAAAGGACTGAGATTTAAATGGAACTGAATATATTTACTGCAGCATTATGTTCACTTTGGCTTTACTTCTATTCATACATAGAAATCCAGAATATGTGGCCATCTTGAGCACTCTTTTATTTGAAAAAAGCTTATCTTATTTGATTTAAAGGGAAACTTTGCCAAGCTTTTTATGATTCCGGTGCATCCAAATGAACAATGTGTAACTTCCCTCCAGGTTTCCTGCACCCAGAGCTCCCCACTCATTTGCTGTCTCAATCCAGCTGTCCTTGGAAGTGGGCATACAAGAAATGCAGAAGTACAATCCGTAGTTCAAACAACAGCTCTATAGAGCCATGGTTAGATCGACAGAGAAAAAATGAGCGTGGTGCTTTGGGTGCAGGCAACATAGAGGGAAGTTAAACATTTGCATATACTTGTGCCCAAATTGTAATCATACAAAGCTAACAGTTAAAATACACAATAATAAAATGATATTAGGAAAATAAAGTAATTCTTTTCCCATGGGCATTTTTTAGATACATTACTTTTATCTCAATGAAAAAGAAAGAAAGACAGTGAAGTGAGGATTTGGAATCCAGAGAAAAAGTGAAGTGAATGTTTCGGTTCAGACTTAAACCCGAGAACTCATGGTTTAAACCAGTGCTTCTCAAACTTTTCAGGTCATGCCCCCATTCAGAAGCCAAAAAAGTTAATGTCCGGCCACACAACACAATTTTGTAAATCATTAACAATTACAGGGGAAGTGACTAATGAAAAGGGATCCTAGTTGGATTTTAGAGAATTTAGGGTTAGCACAATAGCATCAACAAACTCTTTGTCAATTTTCCCTACATAAATCAAATTCTATAGATAGACTGAGCAGCCCTAATTTCTTGCTTAAATTTGGGCTTGAAAGGGGAACTTTCTGTAATGGAATCCCCTTTTTCATGTTTAGCATTTGAATAGCAGCAAGCATCCAATACACATTTTTGTTGTAGTTGACTTAAAGGTAGACTTACATCAATTATTGATCGTAGTTCGTCCCTGTCCACATAGCCATTGTTGTCTTTGTCATACACCTTGAATGACCAGCGCAGTTTATGCTCCAGGTCTCCCCGGAAAACAAGATTCAGTGCCGCCACAAACTCAAGGAAATCAATTGTGTTGTCCTGAAAGGCAGATTGAATGAGAACAACTGGGTCACATTTTCACATTTTGTTAAAAATGTACAGAATGCAAGGCTGTAACAGCTTTTACTCTCTCACCCCATTTCTGTCAAAAGCTCGAAACATGTTCTCCGCATAATCAGACGCCTCCCCTGTTGGGTCCACACCAAAGAAACGCTTGAACTCGTGCAGAAAAAGTAGTCCACTTGGGCACTCTATGACAAACTTTTTATACATATCTTGAAGGGCTTTAACATCAATCTCCTCACTGTTCTCTGTTTGCTGTGATTGCCCCATGGTTGACTTGTAATTTAACAGTCCATAGTCCTGTAGCCTTTGGGTATATACTCCGCAATGGAGCGGCCAGACTTGTAAGAGGCATCTCATACTCTTTGTTGTTTTTTATAACCTTGTGGAATCCCAAAGCTCCAGTTAGCATATAGGGGATTAGTGTGGCTTGAGGATTAGGTGTTACGTTGGTGGAGTTTCCTCTCTCTGAGTTAATTAGGTATGTAGCTAATGTGGGTCTGTTCCAAACTTGTAGGAGTGACAGGCATTATTCCAACATGCAAATTAAAAGTGTAGTGTGGCATACTGTATATTGCCAAAAGATCAGCAATGCATATTTACTGTTTTTGAAGTTTCTTAAGTTATGGAAGGCAATACATATGTAAGACTGTGAAATCCCATTTTAGGAGTGTGAATTAAATTTAGACTTGGATGTAACATAAATGTTACTGAATGAATGAATTTCATTTAATTTAAGACCAACTGTCCTTATGGTCTCCACCAACTGTTGAGAAAAACATCTGGCTCTTTTCTATACTTGACTGTCTGCTGTTTAGAGCTGGCCAGGTAGTGCAGGTTTATCATAGATTTTTCTGTGAAAACAGCCACCTACTGTTGCTGAAAATGGGGTTTATGAGAACAGAGTTTGCAGACTAAAAGACCAAAACAAAGAGGCAAAAGAAGCTAAAGCTCTGTAGAGCTGTAAAGCTGGATGCATTTGTTAAAAAACAACCATTAAAAGGTCCAACATGTAACATTTCGGAGTCTCTTTCGCAGATATGGAATACAATATTCAAAACTATATGTTTTCATTAGTGTATAATCACCTGAATTAAGGAATTGTAATGTTTTCATTACTTTAGAATGAGCCGTCATGTTGAACCTCCATGTTCCTACAGTATCCCGCAAACCAAACATGCTCTAGATAGGGGCATTTGCGCTTTTTGCATATTTTGTGGCCAGTGTAGTTTCCCCTTTGCACTTTGAAAAGGAGGGAAAATGAATAGAGTTACGATGTGCTGTTGTGATCTGATCACTTTTTTTAGACATGGTAGTGGCATGGCTGTAGGAGATGGCAATGTTGATCTGTTGGGTGGTCCACCGCTTTGGTCCAGACTATCTCAACAACTGTTGGATGGATTTCCACGAAATTTTCAGAGTCAGACTCACAGAGCCCAGTCTTTACTCAGCCAGCACATTTAAGCACAGGGCCTTTATCAGTCTTTTGTTTGAGGAGTGAGTTTGGATCTAGAGCTCTTACATAGACATGTGGCCATGAATTTATCTGCCAAATGGCTGATGTCCAAATCTGTTACTGTCCCTAATCAGTCATAGTGTTGTTTTTTCTGATCAGAAAAAAGAAGCTAAGAGACTAAGGCGCTCTAGGTCATGCTAATTTGGAATTGGTATCAATCTCTTTTAATTAGATTGCATTAGCTTTGCAAATAGGCAAGGGACACAAATCCTACAGAGGGTATGGACTGAGATGATCTCTCAGTGTGCCCAATCGGGGGTGTCCAATAAAAAGAATAGTTGATGGTTACTCGTTGGTTGCTGCATTATTAGTAAGATACAGTGAGTATGAATAACTAGCTATGTTTTTAAGTATTTATGTTTGCACCCTTTCAACCAGTGTTTAGCTGCAGAGCAGAGGTGTAACTCACTCCTTTAAGCAAATAACATGAATTACACTCCATTACCTTTTACACTTTTAGGTGATTTGTTGAATACAGTGTGTGCAGCAAGCACAGACATTCTTTCTTTCTGTGAAAGGATAGAAAACAGTAATTTTTCAGTGAAAGTGCCCTTGAGCAAAAGTTTCAGAGGAGCTGATTAGTGTAAAACAATTAATTATGTTGTGTGCTCTTTTAGAAATGTTATTTACTATTTACTGTTAATTGTTATTTTTTCCTTTCTCTTTACCCTGCAGTTACATAAAGGACAAAAACACGCCTTGGAATCAATCAAATGAAATCAATTAGTTGCTGTACAGTGGTCTGCTAAAGTGGTTTGTAGCCTCTATGGCATGATGGCAGGATTTCTTGCCCACAAGACTGATGTGGACTGCCAATCAGGATGAGCTGGTACAAATATGTGGTCTATTTAATAATCTGAGATGTAAAGTTTGGGATTCCTTTAATGCTGATGTCTCATTGGTTAGTGGGTAATGTATTAAGAGTGTGATCCACATTGAAATCCCTGAGAGGTGATTAGAGGTTAAGATTATCACACAACAGGAGGTGCACTATAGAATGATGTCTGTAACATGTATTAGAACAACCTGTAATTAAATGTATAGCATCGCCCACGAGGATGTGTATAGTGTCTAGCTCTTCATGCTCATGTATTTAATATACACAATAGAAAATGTTTTGTTGCTTTATTCTTCTTTGGCAGCAAGCTGTATAGCTAGCTACCTGCACAGCCTTAAGCAAATAAATAGTGGCTCATACTTTGGCAACATCCTGCTACTCCTCTTAATACACATTTTGAGTTCACTTTCTTTAGTGGTGTAATCATATAGCCTGGTTTCTTTTTCTTTTGTTGATCTGATTATGTGGCACTGTCAGGCTTGATCCGTAAATCTTTATGCACTGCGGTTGATGCTCCAGACTGCGCAGCAGAAACACACTCTCAGCAGGTAGCAAATACATTTTAGGATGCCCACCTACCTAAGAATTGCTACTTTACACCAACATATGTCACAAAATGGACAAAGGATGATTTTAACCTCTATGAAAAAAGAATCCAATAAAGGAACCTTGAGCATCCATTAAAATGTGTGCTAGTACAAATACCAACATATAAAGTACCTATACTCAAGGAAGGAAAAATGAAAAATGCACAAATTCTTTGGCCATACTGATAACATTTATGGGCTACATTTTTTATTACAAATTGTGAATGGCCATTTCCCCCAGTTTCCTTCTCTTGATCTCCTTTTGATTCATTTCAGACTTTTGTTTTAACCAACATGCACTTGTTTTTTAACTGACAGGAATTAACTGCTCTCTGATCACATATAAATACAGACATTAGGATGTCAGGTCACAGGACATTTTAACTGTATCTATACGACATGTTTAAACAAAACTGGGAAAATCTTTTTTTTAATTCTTTTAATGTGTAGCGCTGTTCTGTGTATGTAAATTGTGTGTTTGCTGTAAATTTCTGTTTGTGTCTATGCTAATACTATGAACTCTTGTGCACAGGTCTCTCTTGAAAAAGATATTTTCATCTTAATGAGACTACCTGTGTAAATAAAGGATTAGACGATTACAAAATGTTGCTGCTGAGAATTCTCTCTCTCAGTGTGGACAAGGATAGATGAGAACTGTATATGTGATCCTATATGAAACCCATTCCTTCAGTTGCTAACACAGCACTTATGCAACTGGTCTTGCTGAGTTTCTAGAGGCTTTTGTTAAACTTATTAACCAAAGCTTGTCTGTTGTCGAGGTCAAGAATCACTTAAGACCTGCTAATGAGCTGGCGAGTTAACCTGTGTAGATAGGCAGATATCTGTTCCCTAATCCCAGATCTTCATTTGAGGGTTGGAGCTTTACTCCATGCTAATGATGTAAATATTTTGCAGTGGAGAACACTTTGCATTGTCTGTTTCATTTATCCTTTATACCAACGAACCATGTTTGCTTGTTCTGCATAGTATGTATTACTTTGTATAAGGTCTTACTATTAATACAAATTATTGGAAGAAATTTGACAGGTCCTATTCTTATGAATGTTGTCTTTGTCCATTGGCTAGAAAGTGAAAATATTTTCAGACTTATTTTCAGAATATACATTACAGCCTGTCAGAAGCAAAATTAGTTTAAACAATTATAGTGGTCTTAAGTAGATAGAAGGCCAACCCATAGGGTGGATCTAAAATTAGCAGCTCCGTTGTGCGCCAAGTTTAGAGAAGGTTTTACTGAGTGTGTTTTAAGAAGATTTGATATGAACCATCATGGGTCTATTCATGTCTTGAAGTTGGAAGGAAAAAGTTTTACAGTGTATTGTTTTATAATGCATGCATATTGCCACAGCACTCTGTAGATTTAGTTTAATTCTGTAGATAACTTTATTTAATGTTTATTTTTATAGGGACAAGTACATGAACCGATGTTAAATAAGGTCTAGTCACACTCGTTGAGGTTAATTAGGTCTGTCTTTAGGTTAAGATTTGTTGGTACTCTTCCTCAGTTAACCTAACAGGGTCAGTAAACCTAACAAGATTAGACTTTTGATGGAGGGATTCACCTCGCAAAAGGTCTAACCTCCTCTGCTATTCCAATATAAACTCTCTTGGAGTTCAGCTCCAATGTAGTTGCAGAACCCAAATAACTCTCGCTGATCCAGAACAGCGTGTGCATGTGTCCATTAAAAGCAGATTGGCTTCTACAATTTTGCTCTGTATTGATGACATATCATGACAGAAATAAAATAATAGATGCCATTTAAGTGAGATTGTGAGAAAGGTTATTCAGGCATGAACCAATGTTCCTTTGCACCTGGCAGTAATTTAATCAGTTCTTGCTGACAGAAATTTATACATTTAATTATAAGTAAATTAAGGTGGTATTACTGCATTTTATTGAAAGGTGTTTCTAATGTGTTTGTCCTTCCTATTTATAGGAGAGGGGCATAATGTTAGAAACACCTCTCAATCTTGAAGATATTTCAATTTGTGTGGTGGCATGAATCACGTTGTACCTCATATTATGTCCACTAGATGGTGACATTAGTTCACAGTTAGAGCATTGTGGCTGCACACTGTTGGTACAGTATACTTTACATTATACAGGTTATTGGGAAATGATTTTAATCCAGAAATATATACATCACAGCTAACCCTTACAAGCGTTCAAAAAATCACTAAATTAAATTACAAAAGGATGCATCAACAGCAGCACCGAAGCTCAATAATCAAATCTTTTTAATCTATAGTCACATCTCATAAGAGCGACTTGATAGTTCTTCCTCTATCTGTCACCTTCTGTTTATATAGGGAAAAGCTTTTTTCTTTTTATCAGGTTCACTCTCATAATCCCTTCTTTGTATTTTAAACA